TTATCACAGTAGTTCCTTAGTTACTTACAGTAGATTTTGAAAGGTTGTGTGGTATCACAGGTTAATTTTATTTTAGCGTTTTGTCTAACTTCTGTTGCTGTTTTTGGCTTTATGACAAGATTCTGCTAATCAGTTTCTGTGTTTCTAGTTTGTGCATTGCAATGTGTGCAAAGCTTGTCACCTGTGCTCTGCCTCTCTTTTACCTTGGGTTATAGAAAAAGCTTTGAAGAAAATAAGTTATATAGATAGAAGGTAAGTGCCAGATAAGGTTTTTTCCAGGATATAGAGTAATTATTTTCATGTTACTTGTGGAAATTATGTGAATTATAAGTATCAAATAAGCATAATGTGTTAGTGTAGAAAATCTTTCAGTTGAAATAGTATGGCCCTAGACATGTTGCAGCATTTTAGCAAAAACTAAAATTAGCAAAAGAAAAAGGGCCAATCCCCTTGAAATCCAAAGTAGAGAAGTTCATTGATAGAAGTGAGCATTAAGGTAGCTGATGCACACATCAGAACTACGGCATTCACCTGAGGAATAGAAGGGAGTTGCACTCTTCATCTTCCCAGAAGCAGGTTAACCTGCTTTTGATCAAGTCTTGAACTGAAACTTTTCCTGGCTGTTACTGTTTAGCAGTGCATAGATTTTGAACAACCGTCTTCCCAAGTGGCTGCTTATTGCCATAAGGTGGAAAGTAACTCATCATTTTCTAGAATTTGTGCGTTATTTCAGTCTTGCAGGGGATTGGTAGTAATCAATTTGCTGTCACTACAAAACTCTGAAGAACGCACCACGTATTTTCCTTGCAGGGTGATGAAAGCTTATATGGTGATGCTGACTGCAGTGTCCTATCAGAAGAGATCAGAAAGAGACTAAAATTACAGTTGTACCCATTAACATTAGTAAATTCATTACTGATGAAGTGGGAAAGGAAACTTCAATTCCAATGCAAATGCTATGGAGTTAAAATTACATTTGTCTCATTTATTAGAGGGTTGAACAGTGACATTTTTTGTTATAAGTTGTTTTTTTAACTAGTTTGAGTCAACTGACTCATTGTTTATCTGAATTAAACCCACATTATTTATACCAATTACATCTATTTTTTAAATAAAAGTTGTTTAACACTTTCTTTTGAAATGGAGAACAGTCTAAAAAATCAAAATTATTAGAAGCAGCAAAAGTTAGAAGTTAAAAGTTCTGTTTGATACAGACAAGGGGGTTTCAACAGACAAAAACTTTAAGAACTGCCCACCCAATTTATTATGGCTAGAAATACAACTCATGTAGGATTTTTCCATTTTCCAGTTCAGTGGGCTAAAGGAGGATGTCTCAACATCATTTGTTGCCTTAGAATGTATAAGAAAACCTATCGGATATGTAGTACTTAGGTTCTGCAGTTCTGTTCTGCTTGAATTTAAGATTTTTTTTTTTGCAAACTACAGAGTTGAGCAATGATGTGTGTATACACATAAATATGTAGAAAATATCTTTGGACAGATGTTTTTACCTTTTATATACAAGCATGTCTTTGAAGGGTTTCACAATTCACAGTTGATGTAATCTCCAGTTGTTGCTAGCAAAATAGGTAAGATTGTACACATCCTTGAAGGTGACTTCTGGATAATTTAGGATAACGACTACCTGTCTTGATAAAGAGATTTTTCTTATCTGTGACATGTCTCTTCTTACAGTTTTTTTGTCAAATGATGAATCTTGATAATTCTTTTTGGAATAGATAGCACTCAACAGGCTCCATAAAAATGCCTTTTTCCTAGGTAGAGTAAGGAATTGTTTTTTGCAAAAAGTCTCACCACTTGGTCAAGCAACAGATGCCCATTTCTGCACCAAGGAGCTTATGCTGTGCTCTCTGCCTCACTGTCTTCTTCAGCATTCAGCAGGCTGCCTGCTGGGCTCAGCCTGGCTCCTCTGCCAAGCGCAGGTGCTACCAGGCACCCCCAAATCCAGTATCATCTCTACAGACCTCTGAGTTCCGATGTAAGCAGTCAGGCTCCATCTGGTCCCTGAGTGTTTTCCAGACCTCCTGAACTCTCTGGTTAAGCTCACACATTACTTAAGATGTGTAGCATCATTCCAAGATTTGCAGTAGTACCCATTCTGTTTAGAAGAGTGAATGTGTCTGTTAAAGGGGCAAGTTATGTAAATGGCTAAATGCATTTGAGGAATGCAGTCACTGTTGAAGCAGTAAAAAAGGTAGAAGGAAAATTTGTCAGGAAATGTTCAATTTTTAATTTGGAATTCATAATTATCTTATCAGTATTTGCTGAAAGGCAGAGTTGGCACAGTATTAAAATGTCACACAGTTTGAAGAGCAGCAGAATCCCGTAGCTGCTTGTATTACAGGCTGTATACTGCAAGAAACTAAAGCATACTCAGGCCATACTGAAATGTTTGGAAAGCTACTGCAGCAGCATAGATGGAAATGTTTAAATAAGGGGTTACATTAGAATGTTATTTAATAGTAGAGTAGGGAACAATGTAACAGTCTTGATGTATAAGTAATTACATCTTCACTTTTCTTGCTAGAAATGCTAAAATTCAATAGATTTTTTTTAGTTAAAAATGTTAAGTAGATGCCAGTCTGAATGCTACACCAAAATATAGATTGCAAAACAAGAGAGTTAATAAAATTTCAAATATTTTCAAGTAATTATCCACTTTCTCTGTTATAATGAGAACTAAAATATAACGCAGATATATGCATAAGATAGGAAAATATTTCTTCATGCAAATAGTATTGTTAATCTTAATTAATAATTTAAGATTGCCTACTAAGAGAAGGAGGAGGTGGCTGTATACATTGGAGGATATTCTGTATAACTCTCTGCTCAGCTTTACTTCAGTCTGTGATTGAACTACATGAAATGCTAACTTTTACATAGATATTTGCAGTTTGCAATTTATATACTATATGCAGTAGTATGTGGACATATTAATTAGTGATTCCATATCCATTTATGAGTAAAAGAGTGAAAAACATGATACTGAGCTTGACTGTGCTATTAGTAGTATTAGCTAAACTACAGAGAGAGATAATACAGAAATAAAACTCATAAATCCCACTGTGCAGAAGATGGATAAGATGCTAATTTATTTCTTCCCCCAAATTCTTACTAACAACACAGTGATTATTAAAATAGCCCCTATTGTAAGTCTAAAATGAGAGTAATTGTGGAGGTTTGATGGAAAGCTACGAAACGAGTCATTAATCTGAAACAAAGAGTTTAAATATGGAATTATGATATACTTGGCTTTCTGTAGTGTAGCTGTCAGGCTTGGGCAGTTTGCTGGTCAATAGTGACATTGTGTGTCAGTGAACAGAGTCTCCTGATACCTTAACCTGCAGTTCACACATTACTGAAGCTCCAACTGTCGAACATTCAAGTCCCTTGGTACTACTGCAGCTTCCAGACTCTCCTGACTGGCTCATGTTTCATTCTTTGGCAATTTGCCCTAATGATATCCCTCAGGAGCTTTCAGACCCTCTTCTTTTCCATATTTAATCATGTTATATTAATCTGAGTGCTGAGCAAACTATGTTGCACAAATTGTAATTGTCTGTGATTTCTGCTGCAATGGTCTTATAATTACTACTTCTTTTAAAAAAAATTTTAGTGTAAATTACGTGTACAAAATTGCATTATAATTTTTATTTACAAGTCTAAGTGTCCAAGGCAGCCATGGTATGAAAGCATTTGCTGCTGATCTGTTCCACATAGACAGTTGTTGGTTTTTTTCCTGTAAAATCCATAATGTTCCAGCACTTGCTTATGGACAGGATTTACATTTTTATTTTAGTTCTTTGTTTTGTTACTGTAAAAGTACACGTCTAATAAACAGTGTTATTATCAAATTAACCTCAGGTGGTAATTTTGTTGTGATGTAAAGTATTAGGACAGTCTTTTTCTGTAAGCTTGGTGTCTTCTATGTAGGGCATTCCCTTTTAATTATTTTTAAAATTATTTTATTTTAAAAATATATATTTTATGAGGTTTGTAGTGTTTTAAGTGCTGGATATAGGCTACCTTGTTTTGAACGTGGTTTTCATATATTCTCATTCAGCTGTAACTCTAGTTGCAAAATGAAATAAATAAATTTGAGTCACTTCCTGATAACAAAGTGGTATTTGATAGAACAAATGGAATTCTTTAGCTGCTGCAGATAATTTTGTTCATTCCAGGAGTGAATGAGAATGTTTCTAATGAATTCCAGACATTTTATGTTTTTTCTGGCGTGGGTGAATAGGGGTTTTTTTTGTGGAGGTTTTTTGTTTGTTTGCTTGTTTCTTTTAGAAGAACAGGGATGTTGTCCATTTTGAATAGTAAGCAGATTACACCATCTCCTTTCTTGGTCAAGGAATCCTTTACTTTTTGCTACCACCAGACTTGCCAGTCTCTGCTTTGGGAATGGAGTTTTGGAAAATCACAATAAATTTACTTTGCTGTCACAGAGAATACTCACTACATATTTTTTTTAAAGGTAATTTGGAAATCAAGATGGTGACACAAACAAGTATTAATACTGCTCCTGAGTTTAATGCTATTCTGTGGCTTTGTGAAGGTTCAGCTTAATTCCATTTGTTCCAAATATCAGAAAAGTGGACCAAAAACGTCCCCTGAGTCCTCCCTGCTCAGCAGAGTTGAGTGCAGCTGGGGTGCACTGAAGTTCTGTGCCTTGGTGGCAGTGCCCATGTTTGATGGGCATCAAGTAGTGCACATTTATTTATTTATTTTTAAAGGAAATAGCTGAGAAGGGCTAACTTTTAATTGACTTGCTAGTCAGACTTCTTGCAAATGTTGTGCTTTTATATCAGAGTTCTTCATAGATGTGTTTAAACAGTAAAAGTAATTAAAAATGCTTTAATAGGTGGTGTGGGGAGGTTAAGATTAGATGTCTAAAAACTAATTTTAAGATTTTGTATTTTCTTTTTATTCATATTTTTTGTTGCCAATTCTGTGTGTGTGTATTTTGTTTTTAGTTAACTGCTTGTGTTCATGCGTCAGCTGCATTGTTATATCCAATGTATTGGCAACACATTTACATCCCAGTGCTTCCTCCACATCTTCTGGACTACTGCTGGTAAGACAGCTAACCTGTTATCCCCTTTCCTGAGATTCTTACCTGTTTTGTAATTCTAAGTAGCTGATGAAAACACTGATTACTTATGTGACTAAAAATACAGAGTTCAGTTTATGAAAGCTCTTCATCCTATGCTTGAATGATGACTGAAAGAGAAATAGTTCAGCATTCCTTTACATGGTAATTGAATTGGTACTTTGAATTACAGTGCTCATCACTATCCATGCAGCATTTATAATCATGTTTATAACAACTGTTCCTGTTTTATTGTTAGAGAATGTGTTCAGTAATTTTAATGTGACTGAATTACAATTTTCTTTTTTTTTGGCATTTATTTTAACTTCAGATAAATTACACTGATAGAAGCATTCAGAAAAAAAAATCGATCACTTTTTCTGGAATAAAACGTTAGTAGGCATCAGTGTTTCCATATAGGTCTATACAATTATTTCATATTTGTATTTTAGACTCTGCCAAGCTCAGGATTCTGTCTAACACCTTCCTGAAGGAGCTTAAAATCCCCATTTCCATACTTCCAAAGCATTCATTGTAAGAATTCTGCTTCTCCTGGTGTTTTGTCTGTTCACATTACAGACTTCATAGTTTTGGCAAATTTTGAAGTTGAACACCAAAGAATCCCTTTTTGAATCTCTAATGATCCTTCAAGAGATAATGTTTCCACATGCCTGTGTTTTAAGATTTCAGGCTAAGAAGAGATCTACTTTCTTTTATTCATAGTAGTGCCAGAGATACCAAATAATAATTTGCGTTAAAACACCTAAAACAGGTGTATCCATCCCTGGAGACTTTCACTTTAACTAGACCCTATGGATCTGTGGGGGGAAAATGAACCATTTTAAAGCAATTCTGTAGATCAGCAATTGTTATTATATGTAAAAACAGAGTCCAAGTCAGATGTCTACCAACACAAGTCTACATTTCTGTTACTAATGTTTTTCTTCACAGAAAGTAATTATGCTTGTATATTGCTGGACTTTGTTTATTATTTGGTGGGATTGGGTTTTTTTGGAACCTATAAATATTTATGTTCCATTGAAATCTTCCCAGTCCATTGAGCTTCTTGTTTTAAAAGAAATTATTTATATTTCCTGAATATTTTTGATAGTTTTTCCTCAAATTTACCATATTTGCCCATGGTACATATTTTCCTGTAAGAGTTTCTGTCCTTCATTGATATTTTTTATTGTTTTTAAAAAGAAGTAAAATATTCTTCTCCTACTCCTCCCTTTACTTTCAACTATAGCTGAGCCTTTCATCTTTCATGATAGCTTTTTTTTGAAGAAGCTCTGTCCTAATTGTTCTTCCTCCTAGATTTGATAGAATGCACCAAGATGGGAGTAGAACTTGGACATATTTCTTTAATTTTTGTATTACTTGATCTTACCACCAAAAGCTTTGTAATCTTACAGTGTATTTCATAAATGCTGTGCTCAGAAGGTAGATCAACACCTTTATTCATGCTGTACCCTGCAGAGTGCATCCTGAATACTAGAAGATTTTTCTATATCCTCTCCTAAGCACATATAATGTTTCCAGAAATAATAATGTTAGATGCTGTACACAGCTTCTTGTGATGATGATAATAGTTGAGATTCTAGGTCATTATGGCATGACCTGAGAATTTTATTTACTCATTAAAAAGAAGCATGGAGTTTCTTAAACTTTTAAAACTCATTTATATCCCTTTTTCTTTTTCACAGTAGTACAATAGAATGGGTGAGGGGGAAAGTTTCCCTTTTTTAGAGATGTTTAAATGGAAACAAAGTTCATGAAAGGCAATGCACAACTGATGAATTTACCATAGCAACTATAATTCAGACCTTTTAACTCAGTTTTTTGTTCATTTACATTTCTCTGTTCTTGTTTGGTTTGAAACGTTCTTTTGTGAGACAAGTTGGAGCAGTGTAATAAAACCACACAAAATACTTAGTTTTCTTCATGTCTTGGTGTATTAGTGGTGAATAAATATTTTCCTCATAAGCATATAATATATCAAGTCAGAAAATCTTGATGAATTCACAAAGTTAAAGTTCATGCTAGGTGAGACCTATTGTGCAGCTGAAGAGGGTCATGTCAATTTAAAATTAATAAAATTATTTTCCAGTTCGTTTTTATATTTTCATTGTGATAGAGCAAAGTTCTTTTTATAAAAATGCCATTTTTTCCTTACATACATTTTCATATCTTGAAACTACATTGTCATTGCTTCATGTGGACTTTGTTGGGATGTCTCCCATGAACTCACATTTTTTTTAGTCTTGTTTTGAAATGATTTTCAAATAAACGGAGTAGGGGTGAGTTTGGTAATTTTGTTTGTTCCAAGGGGCCAAGACTGTTTTAAACAAAAAGAAGAAAACACAGCAGTATTACTAACAAATTGAATTTTCTTAATATTTTTAAGAGTTTATATATTTTCTAGAAAAGAAAAAAAAACTAGGGAAAGAAAAAGGAGCTAAAAAAAAAAAAAAAAAACCTAGAAAAAAACCCCATCTTTTATCTATTTCTTATTTCACTTAAGCAAAAATATATTGTTGCAGTTGGCCTAGTAGGTGGCTGGCTTTCAAGAAAGCTTTTACAAAACCAAAAGTTTTAGCATTGCTGTAGTAGTTACATTAGAATACAAATATTTTTTTGTGAAGGTGAAAGCCAATTTTATCAAATTCCTCTGTAATTCCTTGGCAAACGAAGTGACTGTTAAAAGAATGAGTGACGGTTTTGTCCGTGTATGGATAAAGCATCTCTTCTAGTGATGCTCTGCTGAGAATATAATGCAATTAGAAAGTTCAGGTTACTATTGCAAAATATCTTTTTATGAGATTTGGTCTCTTCTGAATTGGGATATATGTACGGCTGTTTTCGTGAGAATGGGACAATTATTTTCCAATTAAATTGCACGTTTTGCATAACATAGTAATTATTTTAGGCAGTGATGCTGTAGAGTAGTAACATTTTTGGTAATGACATGCAGAAGCAAAAGAAAACCTATATAGCAGCTCCCAGTAGTATTATAGTAAGCAATTTCATGTACATATTACAAAGCTCTGCTGTTAAGGCTTCAGAATTAAGCAGTAATAAAATTCATTCTTTCCTGAAAATTATCAAATTTACTTTCCATGGCTGCAATTTTTATTTAATGCATTTTCGTTATCTGTTTATCTAATTAGCTTTGTACCTTTATTTTGTTAAATTCTCAAAATTTAAATGATGTAGCTGTTGCTTTGTTCTATAGAAAAGAGCTACACACTACCCTTTTTAATGACAGATTTATTAATGGAGAAAATCATCAGCTATTTTAAGTCAGTACAGGCTTGGTGGAGCTGCTAGAAACAGTGTCGATGTATAAGAAAACAAGGGTGCATAAAATGTATTCAGGGTATACTACTTGCTTTCACTATAGCTTCTCCGGTTCATGTTATTTGTAATGCTCAGATAATTGTGATGCAATGAACCTGAGGATCTATTTGCCTGAGTATTCAGCAAAAGAATCCTCTGTTACATGTCAGTCATAGTAATTCTCATTGGCTTGGTTAAAGATGTTACATAGTATAAAGCATTCTTAAAGTTATGGAGTGCTTTAAAGCTGTCTGATTCCTCACTGAATAAAAGTGCTCTGGAGGGACATCACTTATGGTGGCATGTAATTTGTGTTTAGCCTACAAAGGCATGAGGCCTTATCATTGATAAAGTCATCAGGAAGTACTAAGATTTTTTGATATTGGGCTAAGATAAACACATGGGGTTTTCCATTTCCCATTTTGGAAGCCCCATTGCCTGGAAACCTTAAGCCATTACAGTTTGCAGTCTCAGCAGACCTTTATTTGGAAAGTATAATCATGATGAAAGTTTGTTTTGCCCTCAACCAGTCAGGGTTTTGCGTGTTTTTCTGGTGTGTGTTGTTTTGGTTTTTTATGTTTGGTTTTTTTGGCATTAATCCTCTCCTATGGAACACTGTTAATGAGAGCAACTGACTAATCCATAGTGTGTACAGATTTTTCTAAAACTGGCTGCAGTCACAGACAGGTGAGAATTGCTACTTTCACTCCCAGAGTTGGGACCAAATTGATGAGAACATGTGAACTGATGCAATGAAGCCTCTCCCAAGGCCTCAGGAAGTTGATTGCCAGTGGGTTGGTGCCAGTGGCTCAGATCTGTGATCAGATTAACACAATGGGAGAAATTATTGAATGTCAGATATCTGCAACTTTGTATAAGTCATCTTACCTTCAACTTTTTTTTTCAGGTATTATTGTTATTTTGTTTTTCTCTCTGTTTCCTTAGTATTTTGTTTCCAACTAAGTTGTTTAAACCAGCCTGTTTATCTATCACTGGCTTCTCTGGAGTGCATATTTTTAATCTTGCAGTACCCAAGTGCAATCATGTTTTTTTTCCCTTCAGCCCTGGATTCTCAGTATAGTCATTGTCAGATGTTGCCAGAGAAAGTTCACTAGAAGAGGAAACAGAAAATAATAGGAAACCATGATAAATCAGCCAGACTAATTCGGTCTCTTGCTTGCTTACTGCAGGTCTCACTTTAGAGGCTTTTGTGTGAATATTTGTTCTCTTTTGCGAATGTAGGCCCTTGTCTTACTCAGATTGGAAATTAGAAGTTTACTGTCTTGAGTTAAACAGGGTATTTTAATCTACAGCTTCCAAATGCCCACGAAGGAAGCAGTTCAGAAGCACATTCAGAACCAAAGCTGGTGTCAGTGACATTTGCATTGCAATGGGGTGGTGCGAATGGGCACCATATTCTTCAGTGAATAAAAGAAACCAACACTTTTGGAACATCTGCTAGGTTAGCTGTGTCATACAGTATGCTTGGCTGTTGAAACTAGGTATGTTGGCAAGCTTTACACCTCTTGTTGCTTATACTTCCATAGCTAGGAACCACACACATTTTTATTTTTTTTTGCGGTCATCTTTACTGCTGAGAAGGTAAATAAATAAACAAATTTCCTTGTCTAGTAAAAATTTGTACATCTAATACAGGCTTAAACAGTGAATGGTAGCTAGATACTGTATGTGCCAAGATTTTAAATATTTTTCACTCCACAAATGTTGTGGTAGTTGGTATTTAAAGCAATAATATGGTCTTTTTCACTCTTTTGTTCAGTGCGCCGATGCCTTATCTAATTGGTGTCCACTTAAGTTTAATAGAGGTAAGTTTAATGCACATTTCTGTATACCAGTAAGCATGAGGTATGTGTCATAAATGATAATTTTAATGGCAATGCCTCAGAAAAAAGTCCCTCTTTTAGCATACAGGATTATAATATTTAAGCTTCAGATGCTTTACAAAGTAAAAATTATGCTCTTTGACGTCTTACTTTTGAAGTGCTTTATGGAGACATGCAAGCACTATATCATGATCTGTTTCTGTGTCTATTTAATAGCTCAATGATAGCTTTTTTCCTGCCTTTTTTAGTGATTCAGCAAAAGATTTTCCCAATAATAACAGTTAAAATTAATTTTGGAGTTGCCAGCAATCAGAATTCCGCATAATTCTCATTTCCCACATAACTTACATTCCTAGCATTCCTGAGTCTAGCATTAATCCCATAGCATTCATAACTAGTAATTTAGAAATGAGTAATTTTTTGCCAAAACCCAAGAAGAAGCCTTTTCAGGTTTAAGCATACAACAAAAAATGAAAACTCTCCTAACTGGTAAGTAATAGCTGAATCTTAAATAGCTTTGCTTCTTTCCAAAACCATTTGATGGTACCATTAATCCAACATGTATAGTGTGATTATTCTACAGAATGGATAATTGATTTTGGAACTTAATTTGATTTACACTTCTGCTAAAGCAGTTTCTAAGGATCAGTTCACATTTGCTAAGCTGATGATGTGGGCTCTCCCCTGCCCTGAGCCAGTATAACTTTTGTGTTTCTAAAAATGAGCCTTCTGTCATGGACTCTTCTCAACTAGGCAATAGCCTTTTGTTCTCTCAAATCAAGGTCTTAAGATCTGCATACATTGATTGTCATATCTTGACTAGAATTTTTTCCTTGTTCTGTCAGAGTACAATGGAGCAGAAAGGCTTGCTCGGAAAAAAAAGTTGCTCAGTTCCTTCTGGGATTATTTCCTGGACCACACTGTTATGTATTATTGTAGGACCATATAGAAAATAATTTATTTTTTTTTCCTGAAAGGAACAAATTGTTTAATTCTTAGCTGCTAGTCAAGCTCATTGATGAAAGACTGTTTCATTCATTCTTCTATAGTAGTAGACATCACATGCCTAGGATTTAAATACATCTGTAAATAATTAGTTTTCTCTCTTTTTAATCTGATTATATGATTATTAATACAGCTGTGCTGTTTGATGAAGAGGAAGTGTTATTAAAAGCTACTCTGAGTCCTGTGTCTAATCACCAAATCCTAAGTCTAAAGCTCAAAATGTTGTCTTTGCTGCTATTGTTCTTTGTAAAATCCTAATTTCTAATCTAGCACATTATAATAAAAATGTATTTCAGGAGGCTGCTGTTCTAAAACTCCTTTCTGTTCTCTTTTTGCTCTTTACAGAGAGTAAAAAATAGATCACTGGAGGATGTGGTTTTGCTAAATGTTGACACAAACACGCTAGAAACCCCTTTTAATGACCTGAACAACCTACCTGGTGATGTGGTGAGTCTTACAGATACTTCTTTCTTAAATAGATGCATGAGTTACTAGTAGTTATTTTTGCCTGCTTTTGCTAAGTGCTATAAAAGGAACAAGGGGGTGAAAAGCACCAAGTGTAGACCCCTGTATTTGAGATTTTTGCCTTTTTGACAGTTGAGGAGATGTTGAATGGAACATCATATTCCTTATTGTAAAAGTAGGATCATAATTATAAAGCTAGCTGCATTCATTAGGCATAGCTGCTTTAAACGCAAGAGTCTCTTATCTCATCTTAATCATTATCTTACAAAGTAGGCAGTTCTGTCTGCCTAGTGGCATGTCTTGCAAAAGAACGAGAGAGTTTTTGAAGGCAAGAAGAAGAAGGGGGCCAATTATCGGCTTCTGCTTCCCCGCCACCTGCCAGCGCTTTCCTTTTAATTAATGATCTGATGGCACTGGTCAATATAATAAGAAATGCTTGTACAGTTGGGGTCAGAAAATTCAGGCTTTGATCTTCTTCAACTTTCTGAAACATTTATTTGTTTTCTCTAAATTATTTCAGTTTTATTTTAATCTCTTCTATCCTGCTGAGGGCGGCATGAATGAAAACCTATACTGTTTGTCATTTCCTTTGGCAGAGCAAAGACTGCTTACTTAGAATTCTATTTGTAAATTAAACTGCAAACGCAGTTTGTCATAAAAGACATCTGATCCTTTTGAAATGACGAAAACTGTCTTTTGTCTGTAAAGGATGATAAATTAAGTGCCAGTTCTTTCTGGACTTTGATCTTGCAGAGGGTGTCCCCCCTCCCTTTTTTTTTTTTTCTTATTGCCTATAGGGGAACATATCCTGCATATCATTTAAAATAGTCACAAAATTCACTTGCCTTGTTTTTCCCAATAGAGCTCTAAAATAATGTAATTGTGAAACCACTGTTTTGATTATTTAGTTATAGATGCTCAAGCTATCACAAGTGGTTGTCAGCACAAAGAATTTTATATAAAAAATGTGAAATCAAAGAGTTACATTTTCTGAAATAGTAAATCATAAAAACAAACTGTCTTAAAGCAAGGTGCTGTAGTGACATACTGTGTCTTTTGGTTTTGTTGGCAATTTGTATATATTTGATACAATAGATATTAAACTCTTGATTATTATATTCATATCAGTTCCCTTTGATTTTAATGATGCTAAATCTAGACTTTTTGTAGATCATCTGGTCAGTCCTCCTTTTGATTCAGTATCAAATATAGTTCAGAAAGATAAAAGACTATACAAAAATTATCCTGATGTTTTGTGATTTTACATTAGTGTTTGAAAAAATTGTGGATGCATATACTGTAATTTTGGCTGTACTGTAACATTAGAGTGTAACAAGTAAAGTAAAAAATGAGTAATTTTCTGATGTGTCAGTAATTTTAACTGACCTTGCATTCAGTGAAAAAGGTTGAGGTTATAATGTCATGGAGGTACATACTTCTTGTCAAATAAGAGCTAGATCATAGAATTGGAACTTGGCACAATCTTCCATAATATACTGGAGTTGTAACTGAGGTCCTTCAGACAGTAAAAATGAGTATTTGTGCAATAACAGGGACTTACTGTGTATTTTGCGAATGCATATCAAAATGATCTCTCCATGAGTAGGCTAGGATGAGGAAAATAGGGATACTTCATACTTTTAGAAGTATTTTATTCTGCAGGTTATATGTATTTACTATTACTAGTGTTAAAGGTGGTTCACACACAGAATTATACAGAATTCTTAATGGAGGTTATCCAAGTGTACAGGCTATAGAGTAGACTTAAAATATGTCGTTCCATATCTGGTTAGAACAAAACAGAACAACTGTGTTTTATGAAAACTAGATTTTCAGAATTTATATCCTGAAGCTTTTAATTTGAGTATTCCCATCTCTTCCTTTACTTCAACCTGTAAAGCACTTTAATTAAAACTATTTCAAGGAAAACATACAAGATAGTAGTTGAATAACCTGGAAATGAAGGGCATAGAGAAGGTCTGTGTTTGTCTCATAAAATGACAAAATGCTTGTCCGTCTTCTGACTCCTGAGGGGCAGTGCAACTGCCAACACCTCTTTTAAAAAGCATAAGACACAGGAGTATAGAGTCAAAATGGTTAGTTAGACATAAAACCTTAAAGCTAATGTCAAAGAGACATACAGATGTGAAGCATTTTAACCTATATAAATAAACCACATAAGCATACGTATGAAGATAGTAAAATTTCTGATGAAAAAATGAGTACCTCTGAAGGGTGTTACAATAGAAGGAAGAACTGAAAATATAAAATAAATTCTAGTCTTGCTATTACTTTCAAAATTGATTCCAGGTTGAGCAGCAGCCTAACAAAAAAATAAAGTGTTTTCAAAGAGTTTTCTAAAACTGTTTTTTGTGTCCAAAGGAAATTGAGTAATTATTTTTTTTTAATCAGCGAACTTGATGATGTCCTCACAGCATAGGCATTTAGTAGTTTACCCATGTATAAGTAATAATCTAGTGAAGTGCTTCGATTGTGGGTTTTTTCATGCTAAATTTAAGATTGAAAAAAATTATTATATGGCATTGTCTAATAAACTGCATAATAAATTAACCAAGATTTAAAGGCTTTTTTAAATCATTCACTTAAGCATTTAAATTATAGTTACAGGCTAGATGACTTTCTATACATGTGAACTCTATTATTCTGTCAGACTGACCAGTGGTCTTGACTGTGCAAAGGTCAGTGGTCACAGTTGTCCTGAATTACCAGTCCTTTTTTCATGTGGACCCTCTGCTGCGTTGCATGCTGTAATCTTCTTAATGGCTTCATTCCAATATTCACACATAATATTTTAGATTTATTGACTGTTAGAAATACTACCATGCCAGTAGCAGTTCCGCTACTCCTAAGGTATTTAAAATTGGAAAAATAAATCAGTGCAAGACTTTCAGGAATCCTTTGTTTTCTTAGAGGGGAGGGGAAAACCCCCTCTTTTTCCTCTCTTCTGACAAGAACACTTGTTCTAAAATGTTATCATTTCACTGTGAATTTGTGTATTATTTTTTAATCTAAAAAAAATTAGCTACTACTGTGGGAGTAAATTTCCTAATACAATAATATTTAGTTACTGCTTCAATAATGTAAGAAGTTAGACAAAGGACGTTTGTGGTGTACACAAATTATCAGAGACCATTGACACACGTTTATAAGCTTTGGGCCTGATCCTGCAATATGTGCTTGCAGTTAGTTCTGACAAAAAGACTACTCTTTTGCTCAAATATGAACACTGAAAAAACTTGGAGAATTGAGGGCATCACATTTAGCAACCATGTCTTAATGAATTCTCCAAAGACTAAACAGAAGATTTTATAAATATGATCTTCAGAAAACAAGACTTTCTAGGTTTTTAGCATCTCCTGTGGTCATGAAATATTGTTAACTGTAAAATCTGCAGTGGTTGAAGGATGCATAGCCTTTGTACCGTGTGGTGCCTACACACTATGATGCAATACAGAGTTCTGAGATGCCTAAAGTTACAGGATTTTAACACCATAAATTGGGCATGTGAATGCTGATGTTCTAAAAGTAGCATTTGAGAAGTAGGCTGTAATTCATGTAGAAAATTAAACAGTTACTTTATGAAATAATTACTCTGAGTGCAGCTTATTTCTGAAAATATAATGATTAATATTATTCTAAAGATGTTATGGTCAACATGTAACAGTGAACTGATTTTTTGTAAAATTTAAATATTGTCACTTACTGTGTTTTCCCATCAGAAAATAGGCAAAAATACTACAAAGTGTTTACAGTACTGTGAGGCAAGTATTTAGTTTTAATAAATTCTTAAGAGTTGAGATTCTGTTGAACTCAATGTAGTTTTAGAAGTGAGAGTGTGGGACTGAAATGTAAACTAGTTTTGAAAAGATTTGCATTTAGGCAGTTGTTTTCATCTCGATGAGTATTTGTAATTAATTCTGGAGGGCCATCTGAGGTGTCTAAATGCTGCATGTGTAGATAATACCAAATATGTAGATGGCCTTTCATTAACAATATTGATTTAAATAATATAAGATTCCACTTTGATACAAGTTTTTTCTGTTTTATTTCTCTTCTCTGACATCTTCTCTCATTTCTCACTGTTGAGAGTAGACTTAGTTTTATAGTGACTTGATCTGATGAGGAGCACTAAAAAACAGTTCAGAGCATAACAACTGTCACTGATACCAGAGAAATACCTGAATATCTCTTTTCAGAGATCACGTACTCATTGGGAACCCCAGTGCATGGTTCTGCATTTCAAAGGAGACAAATGTTTTGAATACTTCAAATAAATAAATGCTTAAATTTAAATGTGTGCTTAAGTTTTTATAGGAGCAAAGGCTTCAATTAATAGTTACATCATTTCATTAATTTATTTTTTTAACTTATATGCAGTTCTACTCACATGGATATTTAAAAGATATTAATCGTGCTTTATTTCTGAGCAGATAATATATTTTAAAAATCTTAGAAAGGAAATAGGGTGACTGTTTTAAAAAATAGTGCTTTTTTAATGACCAACACAAATATGTTTCTACATTTTTAGATATAATTACATGAAGTAAAAATTAAATACTGATCTCATTACTTTCTAAATCTTTGAAAAACTATTCTATTGATTTAAACCTTCCTGAAGCTCTGACTGCTCCTCATTGATAGCATTTAGCATTCAGATAAAGACACCTTCCTATGGGAAGCTGTTGCTAGGAGAAGATGAAAACAGTTTGCTTCTAGTGGAAATTAATAGTTCCATTTCTGAAATGGATTGCTAGTGTCTTCCAGAAATAAATTTTAACAGCAGTTTGTTTGTTTGCAGTTTCTTATTTTTAAACCTTGTAAAAGGCCATTTCTGCTTAAGACATGCAAAGAAGAAGAGAAAAGAAATTTGCCATTCTTAATCATAGAGAGACGGTTTACAGCCTATGTGAGGAAAAGATTTTGATAAAGATACTGCTGGATATTTTTTTGGCTTGGTGCCAGAACTGTGTATTTTCTTTGAAACTGTAAGAGCTATTAATGATGTGAGACCCAGAGGGGTCAGACGCTTCCTTGGTTTTAGTTTCATGGATCTAAGCAATCACAATCCTGCTGTGCACCAAGTCCTTCTGAGTAGTTCAAAGCACCCACTCGTTACCTGTACCTACTGTATGGACTGTAATAACTGCTTTATCGCTCTCTCTTTGATTAAACTGTGGAACTTGGAGAATTTACTGGAAACCTACCCAAATGCACAGCTTGGGTTCGCTGTTGCTTGGTGGTGGGATAAGCCCTGAGAAAGCACTGTCCCTCCGTGTGCATGTTTGCTGACCTCAGCTTGAAGGAAACCTCAGCAGGTCTCAAGGGTTTTTTCCAGATTGCTTCAGCCAGGGCTGTGGTTGTGATGATTGGGAAATCAGGGCTGTGGCCCACATGACTTCCACAGGCTTTTCCTTAAGAGCACTGTGCTCCTAGTACTTCTGCAGAATAATCTATTAGAGCTCTTCCTGCCTTTTAGTATAGCCTCCTGAGAAAAGCAGAAGTTGGAGGAACTTTCTTTGAACTCCAGCATAGCCTTTTTTGAGGCTAGAACTCCCTCCAGGATGGCAGCACAAAAAAATGTGCATCTGACTTACACATTTTTGTGCTGGAAAACCCACCTTCAAACTGCTGGACTGTTGGGAGGTACTTGATCACATTGAACTAATAACATGCCGATACTGCAGTGAAGCAGGAGGTTTGTTGCTTTCTATTATTCTTTTTAACATGTTTTTGCCTAAAGCATCCTGTTTATCAATTCATGTTAGGGTACATAGGGCCTGCCACAACTGAAAAAATCAGAAGGTACTATTTTCCTTCAAATCCCCCTCTTTATCCTATAATTCCTCTGCTCTACATCATCTTTATCTTTTTATTCTCTGTCCCTTTATTGTCGTCTGCCATTATTTCCCCAACCTCATGTAGTTTAGAAGCATGTAGAGAATTTTCTGTCTTTTTCCTTATATTTAGATGATGCTTTGTCTGTTACTATACAAACAACATTTTATGGATGATAGTTCTTTTGACCTCATGTTACTACTTTAGTTTTAGTGAAACTGAGCTAATGTTGTTGGGCACATTTCCCTTATACAAAGCATATATATCTACTTATTTTCCCCAGAATGAAATAAACCTCATTTTTAATAACTTTAATATCAAGTATAGAAGAAAAACGAAAGCAACAAAACAAACAAAAAAACCCAAGCAAAAAAAGCAAAATATGCATTTATTTTTTCAACCTTGATCTGCTTAACTGGTTTTTGTACTCAGGCTTGGACTTGTTATTTTCTTTTCAGGAAAAATCATAAAGGAGCTTTGGTGTAAGCTTTCTGTGGACTAAATGAATCAGGCTCTAAACTTTTATCTAGATCTATGGAGCTTGGATATAAATTGAAAAGATCACAGCTATGGGGAAAAGACCTATACTGTAAAGGCCTTTCTGCATAGATTATGAACATCATAACTCAATAATTTTTTTTTTTCAAAACTATAGTTATAATTGGACCCAATGGGGGTCTCTCTCTTTGATCAGATCACAGGAACTGTGACTTTACACTGGAAAATGTCACTACTGTGAAGGTTTATCACCTGTAGAGTTGGTCTTTTCTCTGATGCCGTGTTCAGTTCTCATTAGCATTATTCAAAGTTTAGTTGTTAATTAGGTTGACACTTCAATTACAATCATCATCTACAAGTGCAGTCAGGACTGCTTGCATAAAGAAACTGAAAATACTTATTCTCGCCAATGTTTCTGTAAGAATGAAAGCTGCTTTGGTGATAACTTGTGTTTATAATTTTCTGTTTAAGAGTAACTCTAAATGTTACTTTGTATATTTTTTTGTCACTTAAGTGTTGCATTATTGCGTAGATTGCAATACAAACACATGTAGAAACTTACTCAGTGTATTTGGAGTTGGCTTACTTCTCCAGATATTCCTTGTGTTGAAAATTAGGAGGCTATAGACTGTAACTGAGTGTATTTCTACATAAATTTAAAAAATACTGTAATAACTCCAGAATTATATGGTTTTTTTTCCAAAGTATCTCCAAGTAAGGGTCATCTAAATCAGTATTTCTTATTTTTTTCCAATTCTGTATAACCAGTGATTACCGTTTGCCAGGTAAGAGAAGATCCCCTTTTAAAAAAAGAAAAACACATAAAAAAGGATGATTTTTAAAATTTTCACTACAGGTGCCTTATAAGTATTATTCTTACTTTTTTCCCATTCACATTCATTTTTAGAGGACAAGTCTAAAGAGAATGCATCACTGAATTTACACAAACTTTTCTCAACTATTTGATAGTGGTACCAGCTATTCCCGTGGCACATGAGAAATTATGTAAAATAGTAGTTTGACTTAAAAAAAGGTAAAAATCCCAAAAACTGAATAGTAAGTGACCATTAGGAGTCCTTGAAAATAAGCCTTCATAGCATAAATAAAAAATATCCAACTGTCTTCATTCAAAACAGGTAGTTACATGTTGTGATTGAGAAAAAATAATCTGCAGAAAAGTGGTTCATATGCAGTTTACTGTAAAATAATTAAGCTTATTTATGTCAAGAGGCCTTGGGAAAAAAGAGAGCATAAACCAATTTGCATTAGCACTCTACCATCATCTCCTGCTTTCATTTCAATTAACAGACCAGCAGGTGCTCTTTGCAGTTAAAAAGATAAGCTATCAAGAAGGAGGATGAATTTTTGGCTGACCTGTAGACATCATGGTTTGCCTGCTGATTTGGTTCATACCTCGCTATACCAATTTCTGAGGTGTTAATTTAACTGTTCCACTCTGTCATGCAGGTCTCGGCCTTGAAAAATAAACTGAAAAAGCAGTCTACAGCTACAGGGGATGGCGTAGCCAAGGCCTTTCTGCGGGCACAGGCGGCACTGTTTGGATCCTACAGAGATGCACTAAGATACAAACCAGTAAGGCTTGTCCTCTACTTCTTTTTATCATTTTTTAGTAAGAGCACAGTCTCATTCTATGCTTGGTAAATATGAAATGCAATATTACTCCAGTTTGAAATGTTTAAAAGAAAATGTTTTGAATCTTACTCTACACTAAATATACACTGACAATTTAGAAGACACTACCACCTCCTGACAGTGAGTTGTACTGAAAAATAAATACTCATCTCAAATCAGCTATTTTCTTCCTTGGATTAATGAAGTTACTTGTACACAGCTCACTTGGTTTTATGTGGTGAAGAACTGAAGAGGCTGTTCCTTTCAGACCCCACCATTTTTTATTGTTCTGGTCCAGAGACCTTGCTGTGTTTGAGACCAGAAGCTTTTTATTTCCTAACAGAAGTGAGATGTGAGTCAAACATGCATCTCTTCTATTATACACTTATCTTAATTCCACGGATATGTTAGGAGAAATGAAACCCCATTTAATCCCATCTGAACTTCACAATTTGTATTTCTGACTTTTTGCTGTTACTCAGATTAATATGTTACAGGTTTTCATCCTTTCTGGTTTATTAGAGATAAATTTGAGAATAATTTAATCTGTCAGTCCAGATTATTTTCCTATGATAATTCCAAACTACTGATAGTAGTTCAATTGAGTTAAATGCATTGACATTACATGGGCTGAATCAGATTCTCAGGATATGATGTTTGGTGGGCTAATGGATTCAGATTACTGTTGAGATTTGGTAGGAGAAAATAATTGTTCCTTGAGGCATCAAGTTTGTAAAACTGGTGTATGTGTGTGTTTGTGTTTGGGTGTGGGGAGGATGGTGTGTTCTGTTGATGCGTAATAAACTATGTGGTATTTCTTGACAGAAATGGATAGTGTAATTATCAATTCCAGGTGAGGCCTTGTCCTGGAGGAAACATGAAAATACCATATGGCAAGGTTGTCTTCTACCCAAGGGGTTCTCTTACAGGTAGTCATTGTTGCTGTGAGCATTTTACATGCTATAGCTGTCTATGCCACTGACAGCAGTTGTTATGGAGATGAGAAGTAGTAACCCATGCAGAAATGAAAGGATTTAAGGGTTTTAATTCAAGTATTTGTATTTAGCAGCCATTATAGTTTTCTTATTAAATGACCACAAAGATGATCAAAGGGCTTGAGCACCTCTGCTATGAAGACAGGTTGAGAGAGTTTGGGCTATTCAGCCTGGAGAAAAGAAAGCTCCAGGGAGACTTTATAGTGGCCTTCCAGTACCTGAAGGGGCTACAGGGAAGCTGGGGAGGGGCTTTTCACCAGAGGGGGCAGTGATAGGACAAGGAGTAATGGTTTTAAACTGCAAGATGGTAAATTTACATTAGACATCAGGAAGAAATTATTTACCATGAGGGTAGTAAGGGACTGGAATAGCTTGCCTAGGGAGGTTGTTGATGTTCTCTCCCTGGAGATGTTTAAGGCCAGGTTGGATGAGGCTTTGTGCAGCCTGGTCTGGTGTGAGGTGTCCCTGCTCGTAGCAGGGAAGTTGGAACCTGATGATCTTTAAGGTCGCTTCCAACCTTAACCATTCTGTGATTCTGTGTGGGAAGCCAGTTTGCGTACTATATTGAAATGGCTGTGCCTGTTTTCAAAATGGCTAGACTTCAATATAATACTAATTTCAATTCCACAGTAGCATTATCCAGCATTGCTTCAGGGGGGTTTATCTGATTTGTCCCTTAGTCTAATGGTGAGGACACCACCCTGTGCCAAATTATGGCATCTTGCAGTAAGAACTGTTAAGTAGAAAAGTGAATTAATCTATATTTAATATATGCAAACAAAATAATGGTTTGAGACCAGAAGCTTTTTATTTCCTAACAGAAGTGAGATGTGAGTCAAACATGCATCTCTTCTATTATACACTTATCTTAATTCCACGGATATGTTAGGAGAAATGAAACCCCATTTAATCCCATCTGAACTTCACAATTTGTATTTCTGACTTTTTGCTGTTACTCAGATTAATATGTTACAGGTTTTCATCCTTTCTGGTTTATTAGAGATAAATTTGAGAATAATTTAATCTGTCAGTCCAGATTATTTTCCTACGATATTTCCAAACTACTGATAGTAGTTCAATTGAGTTAAATGCATTGACATTACATTGGCTGAATCAGATTCTCAGGATATGATGTTTGGTGGGCTAATGGATTCAGATTACTGTTGAGATTTGGTAGGAGAAAATAATTGTTCCTTGAGGCATCAAGTTTGTAAAACTGGTGTATGTGTGTGTTTGTGTTTGGGTGTGGGGAGGATGGTGTGTTCTGTTGATGCGTAATAAACTATGTGGTATTTCTTGACAGAAATGGATAGTGTAATTATCAATTCCAGGTGAGGCCTTGTCCTGGAGGAAACATGAAAATACCATATGGCAAGGTTGTCTTCTACCCAAGGGGTTCTCTTACAGGTAGTCATTGTTGCTGTGAGCATTTTACATGCTATAGCTGTCTATGCCACTGACAGCAGTTGTTATGGAGATGAGAAGTAGTAACCCATGCAGAAATGAAAGGATTTAAGGGTTTTAATTCAAGTATTTGTATTTAGCAGCCATTATAGTTTTCTTATTAAATGACCACAAAGATGATCAAAGGGCTTGAGCACCTCTGCTATGAAGACAGGTTGAGAGAGTTTGGGCTATTCAGCCTGGAGAAAAGAAAGCTCCAGGGAGACTTTATAGTGGCCTTCCAGTACCTGAAGGGGCTACAGGGAAGCTGGGGAGGGGCTTTTCACCAGAGGGGGCAGTGATAGGACAAGGAGTAATGGTTTTAAACTGCAAGATGGTAAATTTACATTAGACATCAGGAAGAAATTATTTACCATGAGGGTAGTAAGGGACTGGAATAGCTTGCCTAGGGAGGTTGTTGATGTTCTCTCCCTGGAGATGTTTAAGGCCAGGTTGGATGAGGCTTTGTGCAGCCTGGTCTGGTGTGAGGTGTCCCTGCTCGTAGCAGGGAAGTTGGAACCTGATGATCTTTAAGGTCGCTTCCAACCTTAACCATTCTGTGATTCTGTGTGGGAAGCCAGTTTGCGTACTATATTGAAATGGCTGTGCCTGTTTTCAAAATGGCTAGACTTCAATATAATACTAATTTCAATTCCACAGTAGCATTATCCAGCATTGCTTCAGGGGGGTTTATCTGATTTGTCCCTTAGTCTAATGGTGAGGACACCACCCTGTGCCAAATTATGGCATCTTGCAGTAAGAACTGTTAAGTAGAAAAGTGAATTAATCTATATTTAATATATGCAAACAAAATAATGTCAGTCTGGTTGATGCCCTCACCTGTTTTGATCAGAAATAAGCTCCAGTCAGTCCTTTATTTTCCTAAGTTTGTTGAATTGATTGTACAAGTTCTTTAGTATTCTAGTTAGCATCTCTGTTGAAATGAGCTCTTCTTCTAACTGATTTCCATTTTATTTCAGTTTGTTGGCATATCTCAGATATGATACACATTTGCACTGTATTGGAAGTAGTGCACCATGCATCATTTCAACTGGCAAACATTTGTCAAAGTGACCTTTGCAGTCTTTCTGCATTTTCTTTTGCAGGTTTTTTTGTTTGTTTTGTTTTTGGCTGCACTGGTTGAATATAAGAGAAGATATTTATGAAACCATTGTGGTCTGATGGTTTGGGGTTTTTTTTGTTTGTTTTTGTAAGATATATTATTTTAGAATGTCTTAACAGGCAGAAGTCTGCTGGCACCTACCAGCATATCTTGAATTGGCATAAACTTGTCCAAACACAAAACATATTTAAAAAAAAAATAAATAAATAAATTAACTGTTATTTGGAGCTGCGTTCACATTCTTTTAAACTGATTTTAGTATTTTACAGAATTTTTATTTATTAGAAACTGAGTTTGTTCTGGATTAGTAGAAATGAAGAGGAGTTGTCCCATGATTGTCCTTTATTGTATGCAAGCCTTTTGAACTCAGTTTAATGCATTGGGCAGTTAAAAAAATCAAATAACATTTGACTGTATTAAGACCATTTGCCAGGTGTCTCAAAACCTGTGAATTTTATTGCAAAGAAAATACGACCCTGTGCTAGATCTAATAAGGAAATCTAAACAGCTATGGACTTAATTTATATTCTTTCAAGAGCTCAAGTAGTATCCATGTAGAGAATTTGTAGGGGGCATACTTAAATGAGAATATTTTCTATATAGATTTGAAATGCTTTTGCTGTAAATAAGCTTGTAATATTTTCTGCATTAAGAATCAGAGGTTTTGGGGTGCCATTTTTAGGATCACAAACATCCTAATAAATGAGAATGTGTTTAAAGAGTTATCCGGGTGCTCATAAGTGAAAAAAAATGCTTAAATGAACTATTTTCCTTGCAAAAGTGTGTTCTGTATGATTTTACCTTGAAACATGAAACGGCTGTCATTAATATTCACTTTGAGTAAAGAACAGCTTTGATAGTGTCTGTACTCATCCAACACTTCTCTTCCCTCCCAACGCTGTTCATCACACTGAACACTCATTCTGTGCAACTGTTTGTTTTCAGCATAGGACAGATTCTTCTCAGTATAGCAATATGTCTTGAACAAACGTCTAGCAATTATTGGGAAAAAAAAATGATTGGTGAAAGGGAGAATGGGAAGCTTCAGGGGTCTTGGAAGGAGTTCATGGGACTCCAAACGACCATATGGAAAATTTGACTACTCCAGTACAGACAGGAAATATGATATGAAATAGATAAAGGTGATCATATTTTTGTGTGTAAAAAAAAAAGTACAGTAAAAACCTTAATCCAGTATAATTTTCCAAGAAAAATGGAAATAGTTGTTTTTTCTGATTTAATCAGGATACTAAATTAAAATTGTCAGCAAATTGTCGTAACTGCCAAAAGTATTTTTGTGATTTTGTAATATGCTACACTTTACGTGAGTAAACTTTGCATAATCATAGAATCATTAAGGTTGGAAGGGACCTTAAAGATCATCAAGTTCCAACTCCCCT